CATATGAAAAATAAAATGTCAAAAATGATTAAATCATTATACTTAATATTTATGCATGTGATAAAATTTTTAGTTTCCTAATAACTTTTTTGGCACATTTTATATCTAAGTGTGTAAAAATCTTCATCTTATTACTACACAAAACAAACACCAAAAAATATCACTTAACATTGCTCACGTACTAAACACAACTTGGACTCACTTTGACAGATAACATAATTTTGAGTGATACACAACTTATTTTCGCACATGCGCGTTACAAAACGGTACACTGAAAACACCAAGCTGTCGCTTCTCCTTGATCGGTATTCTCAAGTACTGCGGTGCTAGAATACCAATGAAATAATTAGAAACACAACCTAAAACATTTATTAACTATCATGAATTTAAAAGGAGATTTTTGATGATTTATTAATAAACATATAATGGAGTATTGTATATATACAGAGTGGCCATTTGAAAACAAATCAGAGCCAATTTTGGACACTCCAGGTCATTCACGAAAAACGCTTGGACTCGTCAATTTTTATATTAGTGGGAAACATTTTTTTGCTAGTTTTACCCCCCAAACGGAAACCCTATATGGAAAGAGGGGTCAAATGATATCTTAGTTTGAAGGTATTTTTACATAGAATATAACCCCCAAATTTTAAATCGCTACTGTCTTCCTAGTCATGATCTTTTAACGATTTTTATTTTCTGTAAAAGCTTACCCGTTACTCGAGTAAATGCTGGAAAAGCTGATCCTGTGCCTCTATGTAATAATAGAGGTTTAGTTCAAAACGTTCTCGGACATTTTAAATATTCTGTGGGATGATTTGATGACATTCATCAATTATACGTTGTCACAGATTTTCCAGTGATGTTGACTGTGTGGCTCAAATTTTAGTTTTTAACAAAATCTAACGGGCTTGGATCCGGAAACCACTCAATACTTCCTGCGTTTGATTCAAATTCTCAGTCAACTCTAGTAATGCTGGATAAATGGCGTTTTCTAATAATTCCAGATACATTTCTGCGGTTAAAGTTTGAGTTAAGAATGGGGCCAATTATACGGTTACCGAAAATGCCAGTCCAAACATTTAGTTTTTCCGGATATTGCGTATGCACTTCATGAAATATTCTGGGATTTGAATCAGACCAATAACGACAGTTGTGACGATTTATCGTACCATTTAGGAAAAAAGTGCATTCGTCTGAAAAACACACGTTGAAAAAAAATTGCTGATCATTTATTGCCCGTTCAGTCATAATTTCACAAAATTGTAATTGCCTATCAAAATCGTCTTCGTTAAGTTTTTTACCAGATGTATTTTGTAGAGATGAAACTTGTGTGTTTTCAATATCTTCTGAATGCTACTTCTCTTAATACCAGATGTTATCGCCAACTGTCTTGTACTCAATGTGGGTTCTTGAACAATATGCCCTGAAATCGCCAGCTCTGTAGGTTCATTTACTACAGCATTTTCCATTTCACGTATTTTGTAAGCTACTGATCCCGTTTCCCAAAATTTGTTTACTCAAAAATATACTTTCGATGGACTTGTCGATTTTGATGTTGATTGTTAAATAGTTGGGCAGTTTTATTAGTGTAATAATTGGCATTATTATTAGTTGGAAATACAAAGAATTTTCCAAAAATTCTAAATAAATATTTTAATGTTTTAAATTAAAAATTAAAAAGGAAACACGTATGAAAATAAAACAAAAAATCAGGTTAATAATCTAGTCAATGGCTACATTGAGCGTGACATTTTAAAAATACAACAATCACGTAAATTTTGGTTTACATAGAGATGAGACAGAAAGAAAGAATCTCAGTCGAGGGCGGACGAAGGTCCAGAACTTTCGCCAAGGGCGGAAGCTCTCGTTTTTTTGGAACTCGTTAAGTCCCAAAACAATGTAATGTGTAGAGTAAAGTTTTGTGTACGATTTCTGAATTATGGGTAAATATCTTTAACTTATTTTTTAAGTGTTTTGTTTGATAGTAATTAATTGATTTACATATAAATACCAATGTTACATTTTCGTCCCAAATTATCATATGTATCCTATACATTTTTTTAAAATTATTATGTAGTTAAAGTTTTCCAGTGCTATTTATAATTGTTAATAAGTCCAAACTTATTATTCAATAAAATGTTGATCTAGTTATTTTAATTTAAAGTTTGTATCTATTAACAAGTAGTACTTTATTCCCCAAATTTAATTTTGTTCATTCTTTCTTAAGACTATTAGTCAAATTTTGTATTTATTGTAAATATACATTTGTTAATGTTTTAATACTTATTATTAAATCTCTCCCCCTTTCCAAACCAGTAAAATATTCTGAGCATTTTTATTTGCCACTGGTGAATGGATGTTCCTTTAGAACTCCAGGACCCTTTGGCTGGTGACGGTGCTGCCCTAATCCCTTAATAGTATATTAACAACAGTAGCTATCAGTAGTACAAATGGTTTTTAGACAGTTGGTTGTTACATTTGGTGACATTTAGTGACAAGTGGTGGTCTTTAGGCTTCCCGGTTGTTACATTAGCACATTCATTGTCCGCAAAAAAAGAACCTCTCAGCAATTAAGTAAACTATTATAAGTGATATGCCACTTTTATGCTGACTCTAAAACGAAATAAACTTAACCTTCCTAATTTACGGTGACCAAAGAATGTCATCTGATAACAATATTAACTAGAATTGTTACAAAAAATTCCTTTTTTTTAATACCAAGATGTTAAACCGGTTTTGTACTTTTGGTAAGCCACTGTATAAGCTACATAGATAGTAGCGATGTTAAACTTGGGGGTTATTATCTAGGTAAAAATACCTTCAAAATATTATATCTTTCGACCCATTTTTCCATTTAAGATTTTACTGGTGAGTCTCACCCCCGATAGAGGGTTTCCGCTAAGGGGATGAAACTAACAAAAAAAAGTTTCCCCCTGAAATCGAAAATTGACTGGTTCGAGCGTTTTTTAGTAGATGACCTGATGTCTAGCCAGCACTACTAGAGAGCTGTTCCTGACTCTAAATGAACGTTATTTTCTAACGGTGCTTGATCGGGAGCAACTTTCAAATGTTCCCTCTTCTCCCCCTCAAGCATTTGCTCAATAGCATAGGCACAAAGCTCTTATCTTGATAATTGTAAACTGTTATTAGTCGTTCTTTTATGACATAGGGTTTTATACACCAAGAATAATAAACCCTTAAGTCTAAGTTTAACGCGTTGTCTATGACAAGTCACGGCGACTCTTTTATCACAAAAATACAGCTCTGAACGATAATAATTTATCAAGGTATACTGTCGCTTTACCAACTTGGGTCACGACAACTTATTCATTTCACTTATTTACACTTTTTGTCCACGTTGTGCTATGGGTGCTCCGCACCCAGTTTAAAACTGCTCTGGGTGCTTGCGCACCCAGAGCTCTCTAGGATTCAGGGAGTTGCTTTAAATACAAATCCTTATCCTAATTAATAATAATTCCAATTTTTCACTTATACCAAATGACTTTACAGCTACATGAAATAAAACAAGAAAATCTAAAATACGATGTAGTCACAAATACATACAGAGTGCAGAGTGATTTGTCAATGGTGCTATTATTTTAATTACGGTACTCTTAAATAGGTACAACTTTCATCTTCCGTTTGGCTTTAAATTATCGAAACTATATTCCGATAGAATGTTTGAAATCCTTGATGGGAGCAAGACGACTGCTCTATAAACGAATGCGTGAACTAAAATCATTGGTAAAGAAGGTAGATGTCTTACCCTGGGTTTATAAGGCTTGACATTTACTGCCTTCGATCATGGTGGACTGTATGACTATGTTCGAAATATGTTACCTGGGGTGAAGGCCTTATGCTCCACCCTGTAGCCTCTAGAAGATACTCTCGAAGTTCTGGTTGATGCACTGATTTTATTCAAATGAAACTATCACCCTATATTTGAATTTTATATATTCACGGCTTATTGATTCCACATTTTACATATTATTACTTGGTTACATAAATTATTAATTGATTACATGTTACAACTTTTTTAAATCAAATCGCACAAATGCTTTAACTTAATTTTGCGGCTTGCTGCCAGCGTTGTCAAGGTTTGTGATGTGTGTTGTTTGACTGACGAAACGAAAGTGCAAGTTTTCTCTCCGATGCAAGCCCGCCAGCCCGCGACGGTTTTACCGGCTTTTTTCTCATTGGCCGTCCCAGATCGCATGATTGCGTACGTGATCATATTAATTGTTTGCGCCATAACAGGTGTCTGGCGGTCATTTGAAAGTCAAGCGTGTTGTTTCAAAAGTTTAGATAATTAGTTTATACAGGGAGTGACTATTCAGTACTTTATTATTTTTGTTTGCTAAAAGCGGAGGTTTATACAGGGAGTGTCTACCTAGTATTTAGCAGATAGGACATGTTGAATGTAATTTCAACAGTAGACAATGGCATTACAGCGTATATTATTTGAAATTTCGGCTTGTATTTTATTTCTCAATTTTCTTCATTACTTAAATTTGAGAATTGGTCTCAACGTAATTGTAATTTGTTTGTAATAGATTATTTGCTTGTCTCCGTAAAAAAATTATATTTTATTTTTTACAATTGTTTAAACTTTTATTTTTATTGTTTTTATAGTTGCAATATTGATATTAGCGTCAGCAACTGGTCTTATTTATTTAAAAAAATTTTACCAAATCGTAGGTCTTTATCTTTTGTAGTTTCAAATTCATTTGGAAATAAAATTAAATGCAATTGAACTCCCACCTTAAGTGTAGTTATTATTGTCAATATCATACTGTTTTCAAATACTGCAACTATTAACTAACTTGCAAAATATTCAGTTATTATAAAATAACTCTGAGTTACAAGCAGGAATTTCGAATTATAAGGCGAAATTCTGAGGAAAAGTCGGAATTTGTAAAAAACAAATTTGTTGCGTTTCTACGCTTTCGTAATTTTGAATGTCTAAATTAAAAGCTAAATTTAAAGATTTAATTTACCTAAAAATTGATCGGCAGTTTTGGCCACCAACGAAACGAACTTCGAGGGGTACGAATCCTTGATGATGCCTTCGGCTTCGTCTTCCGAATGTTGATCGGTTTTGTCTTCGCTTTGTTTCGGAAGAAATCCCGATGGTTCTTTGTGTGCCGCCACGAATTCTTCCTCCCACCATAACACCAGTTTCATGGATGCGAAAGAGGCGGATCGAGGAAAGTCCAGTTTTCCTCCGATTATTCCAGGACAAATAGTTTCTTGCAGGATCGTTTGTTTACTCTTAAAATAAACAATGTTATCAAACAAAACTATGCCAATGATATATAGTTTATAGGAATGAACTCAATTATATACAGGGTGACAATTTAAAAACATACAATGGGTATATCTCATAAATTAAAATTGATTTCAGAAAATGCATAAAACCATTTAAGATCTTTTTATACTCCCTTATTATTGGTATTTGCATCAGTATTATGATTAAGGATTAAGTTGAACCTTCACAATCACAATGTAATGAGGACATTTAAACTCGATTTATGATTAATAATTGACAAGTTTAACTTTTATGTTAAATTTTAAATTTCTTAATTTCTATCAAATGACTCAATGACGAATTTTGTCATTGTTTTTAATAGACAACGGTTAATGACAACTAACAATACACATATGAAAATTGCCGCGTTTGAATATCCACATCGGATGCATCTGAGATGTTGTGAATTTTTTATCACGTGATAAAGTATTAGATCTGAATGAAGATGTAATAAACAAACGCTCTAGACTTTATTGGTCGTCACATGATAAAATGGCAATGACAAGATAGAAGTTTATACTTTTTAAATTTGAGTTTTGAGACTAGAAATCAACCGAAATTTGAGCGTAAAAATTTACTCCGAAACACGAAGCTGTCTACTCTGTTAAACATTCGTTGTAAATTAAAGCAGCCTTTTAGTGAATTTATAGACATGAACAAGTAATTTATCTAATAGTTCACAGATACTTTGTGCTACTCTACCCACCGTGTAATATTCCATGTCCCTTTGTATGAGAATGTTCACTTTGTCTATCAAATTTCCATCTTCCATTACCTCCATTTTGTCGAACTTATTGCAACTTTACTTTTCGATAAACTTTTACCACTCCACACTTACCGTTATATTTGCAACTAACACAGTATTTAAGTCTTTTGTAAATATTACCTGCGTTCATAATTTCGTCTTGGAGAAATTATTGATCAAACTTAATGGAACGGGGCTTTGAGTTCGACCCCCCGGTTCTCCTTTCTCCATTCTCCATAGTTCAATTTCCATGTTGACGTCGATGCTGCTGCAGGATCCGTACGGAAGTTTGTCGGGAATTTATTAAATTAAAAATTTTAAAAATAGTTTACACAGGTAAAATGTTCCTGAATAGTAAGAGGATGGAATTTTGTACAAACAAGTCAAGATAGCATAGAGAAAAGTTTAATATGTAGTTAAATCATGGATGGGAAGCAAAACATAATTGTATTTATTAGTTGACAATTTATTTAGTCTTAATATTCTCTTTATTATTGTTTATCAGTATGTATCAGTAGACCATAGACGTGCGTTTTGAAAATAAAGCAAAATTAAGTAATACAGTATTTTAAAATACAAGGGGATATTTTTAAACTTAGAAAATGGGTTTTACGAGTATATACAAATTTTAACATTGTTGGGTATTGCCAGAGCGAATCGTTTAAGTTCAAATAATTTTGTTAGGATTTGGAAAAAGATATGTACACACATTTTTAGGATAAACAAATTAAAAAGAATTAAAATTTTTAAAGAAAACCCTACAGGAAGACGTTCTAGAGGCACCAGATCTGATCCGCAAAACACGTTTCTGAATTTTAAAAACGTCAGGTGCTTTCGTGAAAACCCCAAACAAAAATTCCATAGCATAAATTCCATGCAAAAGGTAATTAATATAAACTGAATAAATTGTGATGTGTGAAGACATATCTTAAGTTTCTAAATAAAAAAAATTAGGCCTAATAAGTGTTTGAAGACGAAGACTGTAAATATATTTGTGAACAGTGACAGAAATAAGCGAAACTTCATCCGATTTTTTTTTTTTTTTTTTAAATCACAACATAGATAAAATAGCTATTTTGTAACCTGGTTAATCTAGTTAATTTTTAAGCGCTCATTCTTGGTTGATTAATTTAAACTGTAGTTTAGATTTGCTAAACGTAGTTCACATGTCGGTGGAAACAAAATTATAATTAAATCAGAGATTATTAATTCAAACTTCGTTTAACACAACTGTGGAATCGGACCTTAACTTTGATAAGTATTGCCAATTATTAAAGTCATACAGATCTGTAGAATTTAGGCACCTGCTTAGAGAATGTCCAACCAAAGATTTTCAAAACTTTGTGTTCACTGTTAAGAGGGTTCCATACCCATCAGCTCCGTCAATTTCATACATAACTTCGAAATCCACGTCCCTTACGTCTTCGCCATAATCCCCCACTTTAAATAAATTGTTAGGCAGCCTGAAATACATCTCTGTGCATTTGTGGTTGCATAGTCTACCAATTCTCGGATAAGAACATCTAGACGTAGCATTTTTGGGCGTGGATGACTGACAACATTAGATTTCTATATAACCGGTTATTCTTTAAGTTTAACACGGTTTCTAGTTTTTTCAGCTTATTTTGTTTATACCTAATTATTTTTTATGAACCCTTTATTCTTTAGCCTTTACACATTCATAAATAGAAAAGCGTATAAATATATATAGGTAAATGTATTATTTGGTTTAGTTTTTATTTTGGAAATTTAAGAGATAATCAGCACATTTTATATTATTGAACAGTCTTTTTCCAATGATAACCTAATTATGCGGCCCCTAAACGCTCAATATATATAATCGTACAAGTTAAAGACTTGTACAACACAAAGTGTAAAGTAATCCAACCAATCTTTTGCTGTCTTGGTATTTGTACTTGCGGGAGTCCGATGTATTATGTAAAAAGATGATCGCCTAGTGAGACAATGGTATATTTGTATTAATTTGTAATAGGGATTTTTCGATTTTTCGATTTTTCGATTTTTCGATTTTTCGATTTTTCGATTTTTCGATTTTTTGATTTTTCGATTTTTCGATTTTTCGATTTTTCGATTTTTCGATTTTTCGATTTTTCGATTTTTCGATTTTTCGATTTTTCGATTTTTCGATTTTTCGATTTTTCGATTTTTCGATTTTTCGATTTTTCGATTTTTCGATTTTTCGATTTTTCGATTTTTCGATTTTTCGATTTTTCGATTTTTCGATTTTTCGATTTTTCGATTTTTCGATTTTTCGATTTTTCGATTTTTCGATTTTTCGATTTTTCGATTTTTCGATTTTTCGATTTTTCGATTTTTCGATTTTTCGATTTTTCGATTTTTCGATTTTTCGATTTTTCGATTTTTCGATTTTTCGATTTTTCGATTTTTTCGATTTTTCGATTTTTCGATTTTTCGATTTTTCGATTTTTCGATTTTTCGATTTTTCGATTTTTCGATTTTTCGATTTTTCGATTTTTCGATTTTTCGATTTTTCGATTTTTCGATTTTTCGATTTTTCGATTTTTCGATTTTTCGATTTTTCGATTTTTCGATTTTTCGATTTTTCGATTTTTCGATTTTTCGATTTTTCGATTTTTCGATTTTTTGATTTTTCAATTTTTTGATTTTTCGATTTTTCGATTTTTCGATTTTTCGATTTTTCGATTTTTCGATTTTTCGATTTTTCGATTTTTCGATTTTTCGATTTTTTGATTTTTCGATTTTTTTGATTTTTTTGATTTTTCGATTTTTCGATTTTTCGATTTTTCTATTTTTCGATTTTTCGATTTTTCGATTTTTCGATTTTTCGATTTTTCGATTTTTCGATTTTTCGATTTTTCGATTTTTCGATTTTTCGATTTTTCGATTTTTCGATTTTTCGATTTTTCGATTTTTCGATTTTTCGATTTTTCGATTTTTCGATTTTTCGATTTTTCGATTTTTCGATTTTTCGATTTTTCGATTTTTCGATTTTTCGATTTTTCGATTTTTCGATTTTTCGATTTTTCGATTTTTCGATTTTTCGATTTTTCGATTTTTCGATTTTTCGATTTTTTGATTTTTCGATTTTTCGATTTTTCGATTTTTCGATTTTTCGATTTTTGCGATTTTTGCGATTTTTGCGATTTTTCGATTTTTCGATTTTTCGATTTTTCGATTTTTCGATTTTTCGATTTTTCGATTTTTCGATTTTTCGATTTTTCGATTTTTCGATTTTTCGATTTTTCGATTTTTCGATTTTTCGATTTTTCGATTTTTCGATTTTTCGATTTTTCGATTTTTCGATTTTTCGATTTTTCGATTTTTCGATTTTTCGATTTTTCGATTTTTCGATTTTTCGATTTTTCGATTTTTTCGATTTTTCGATTTTTCGATTTTTCGATTTTTCGATTTTTCGATTTTTCGATTTTTCGATTTTTCGATTTTTCGATTTTTCGATTTTTCGATTTTTCGATTTTTCGATTTTTCGATTTTTCGATTTTTCGATTTTTCGATTTTTCGATTTTTCGATTTTTCGATTTTTCGATTTTTCGATTTTTCGATTTTTCGATTTTTCGATTTTTCGATTTTTCGATTTTTCGATTTTTCGATTTTTCGATTTTTCGATTTTTCGATTTTTGATTTTTCGATTTTTTGATTTTTCGATTTTTCGATTTTTCGATTTTTCGATTTTTCGATTTTTCGATTTTTCGATTTTTCGATTTTTCGATTTTTCGATTTTTCGATTTTTCGATTTTTCGATTTTTCGATTTTTCGATTTTTCGATTTTTCGATTTTTCGATTTTTATATTTTTCGATTTTTCGATTTTTCGATTTTTCGATTTTCCGATTTTTCGATTTTTCGATTTTTCGATTTTTCCATTTTTCGATTTTTCGATTTTTCGATTTTTTAGTTTATTATATGTAGGTATTTAAATATCAGTTTAGTTGTTTTTGAGGTGCAACTGATCCTATTTATTTAAAAAGTAGTCAGTCAAGGTTTATAACACCCATATGTAGTGGCGGCTATGATCAAACTATTGAATATTATCAATAACATAATCTGGATCTCAGTACAGCTTTAGGTAAGGAACTATCAGTGTTACTTACCTTTCTAAGACCCTGAAAGTTTTTTACCTAAATCTGTACTCAGATCTATAGTCATTGTGAACCACAATATTTTGGTGACAAGCCGCCACTGCCCGTACGTTCTTATCTACTATAGTGTATACACATATGAAAAATCTTAACCGCTATATTATAACATTTTCTCTGGCGGTGGCTGGCTCTTAGAGGCTGATCATCCACCTAATTCTCCGGATTTAATACTCCAGATTTGAGGAAAAGACAGTAAAAGTAGAAAAAATTAAAAAGGTTAATTTGTTATTACTTTTTTGGGTTTGTTTGTATTTCTATTGTAAATAATTAAATAAATAATCTACAGTTAAAAAATGTTACTGCCTTCTTGGATGCCCTGTATGAACAAATGAATTGGTAACAGTGATTTTTTGCTAAAAAAAAAAACAATATACAAACAAAATTATTTTTATTCAATTTTCTACTAAATTATTAGGAAAAACGAATCAAATACGATGTAACCAAATTGTCTGGCATTTAAGTGATGCAATGCAGTTTGGTTATTGAATAGGTACGTAAACGCATTACAAAAGTTTCCTGGAGATAATTTAATAATAAATCGTTGAAAGCTCATAATGAAAATACTGCAACATTCATAAAGCCAACCTAATGAGTTTTGATTTATTGATAGCTTTATAACAAACCAACGGGTCTAACCAAATACATTAGCGGGTGTTTTTACTGTACTAATTAATGTTTGCATGAGCTAAAATAAACCAGCAAATAGGTAGTCCAGCTGTACCGGGAATACTGGATAATTAAATCAATTTCAGGAACGTAACATTGCACAGGAATGCAAGTCCTTTCTAGAAATCAACCAGAGGCGGCGAATTCAGTAATGAAGTTATTTTTCAATACTTTTTATGGTTCCGTACCCGAAGGATAACTAATAGGACTCTGAATAGGACCCTGTTACTAAAGCCTCGGCTGTCCGTCCGTTTGTTAGCGGGATGTATCTCATGATTCGTAATAGGTAGACAGTTGAAAATTTCACAGAATGTGTA